AAAAAAAAAAAAAAAAAAAAAAAAGATATTTTAGATTTATTTAGATATCAGTCTTTAAAGTCAAAATTGCTCTTTTGCATGCATAAAAGGAAATTATAGGTAAAACAAATTGGGCTAAAATAGTCTCCAAATTTCTTCACATTCAGAGTCCAATTTTCCTGAAACCCTCTTTGACTCAGAGTCCTTGATTTTCTGCATGGTATCACCTTCTGTGCCATCAGGAGCATTGGCAATGTGCCATTCTTTAAAAGATTGTCCACTATTGTTTCCAGCATTTATTTTCAAGCCTCAGCTACTCATTCTGCAAGCTTTATTGCCGGTATTTTCTTGCTTCATGTGTGACTAGCAATCATTTTGCCCTTTTCTCAGTAATAAAACAACACAACAGTTCCATTTATTTACGGAGCTCTTCCTTTCTTAGGTCTCATAAAACACTTGGCTGCTGTTTTGCAAGAAAATATGAAATTGTGGTCATTCTTCAATGATAACTGCTTCACTAATATCAAATTCTTGCTACACTCTTCTGTTTGCCCGCCTTTCTGCATACACAATAACTGTGTTTAAATGCTAAACCACAGTGTAACCTTTTTGAAGACATTTTAAACAGCAATTAAGCTGAAGGCGCGGAACTCACCTGACCAAGTTTAGGTATGCGCAAGCAATGACGGCCACTCCCAGCTGCCACACGAGCAGAAGAGCTCTTATGATGAGAAACGAGATACACCTTAGAATTGGTGAAACATGGCAGTTACAAGATTAAACCCATATGCAATGCCCATTCTGCCATGCATTGTTCTAGACATTCTTGGATATATCAGCTCACTTAAACCCTCACAACCATCTTAGGAGCTAAATATTGTCATCCTGTTTTTTAAAGATGAGGAAAATGAGGCAGAGAGAGGTCAAGTAACTTTCCTGAGATTTCACAGCTAGTAAGTGGGAAGGTAGAATTAGAACTCCAGTAACCTGGCTTTGAGAGAACTTTTTTGATTGTAAAGGTGAGTCCCTAAGTCACTCCCTGAAATAATCAAGATGGGAACGCGGTGGGAAAGAATGCTTAAGTTCTTTGAATAATAAAGACACGGATTAGGGTGTTGTTTGCTGGTGGCTTGAAAGAGGAGACGGGGGCGGTGGAAAAGGGGAGGTGGAAGGAGGGTGTCTGGGAGCTGGGCCTGGTTGAGCCGTGGCTGTGGCCGTGGCCGGTGAGGACGCCCCCTGCTGGAGCTCTGTGATGGAATTCGGAGCAGCGCTGTCTGACAGTTGACATGAGGTGTGTTTCCTGCTCTGAGCTGAGTCACAAATGCCCTCTACTCTCCCTGAAAGGTCGGTAAAAGTGGGTCACACAGCAGGCCTGTGAGTCTGGTGCTTTGGGGACTGAGGGAGAAGGGAACGGGTAGATCCACGGTCGGGACAAAGCGGGATGGAGTGAAGAGAGCAGCCCCTGGCTGCGGCTGGCAGGAGAGGAGGGTGGGAGTCGTGGCTGGGGCCTCAGACAGCCTCCGAAGGATGGAGGGCATTGGATCCTTGCAGCTCTGAGACACAGCGTGAGCCGTTTGATTTCCGTGTAGGGTTTCCAGATAAAATACAGGACATCCAGGTAAATTTGAATTTCAGATAAAAAACAAATGATTTTGTTAGTATAAGCATATTCCAAGCGATGTTTGGGACATACATACTAATACTAAAAACATGTTCTTTCACTGGAGGTCTGCAGACATCTGGGTTACAAACTAAATCTTCACAAGGACTTTTGGGAATCAGTTCTATGAGACCTATTTTACACAGGAGGAAACTGAGGAACAAAGAGATTAGACAAGTTGCCCATCATCACAAGGCTAGTACGTGACAGAAACAAGCTATGAATATAGAAATTCAAGCCTTTTCTTGACAATAGGCTGACTTCCTCCTCCAAACCCTACCTCAAAGCCCAGGTGGTCGTGACGGTTGAGGCCCAGGGGGAGGCAGGGAAGGTCACAGGTCCAGGCTCCTGGGGAGACACAAAGACAGCTTCCTGCCATTTCCCTCCTGCCCATGGGGTG